TTTTTATACCATTAAGAGTTAGTGGTAGTCCCTACAGGCACCATATTTCAGCAGCTAAAAGCCCCTGCCCTCGATTGTTCCACACTCCTAATTACCAAGAATGATGAGGGATTCCAAAGCTGATCTGGAGCTAACTTGGTGATATGCCTTTATTACCAACAATGGAAAAGCTGTGATCTGGAGAAAATTGGTACCTAATGCTAACCATGTGGCTTTTTTTTGTCTTGTTAATGATTATTAAGCACTAGGATTGTAGTGCAATGGCTGCTATACAAAAATATGTAATTATTGATACAGTTTCTTGCCATTAAGCTTACAATCTAAGATAAAATGCAAGAATGCTATAAGTCTACCACAAAAATTTCCTTAACTTAGAAATGGCTATATTAACAAATACATGAGATGAAATGGCTACGTTCTTAAGGTCATGTGCTCAAAGGGGTTTTCTGCAGCAATGTTTACTGCTATGGGAGAGAGATGAAACATGATACAGAAAGCAAACAGATCTGAGCAAGAGGACAGAGCTACAAGCCCTTGTTGCTGGTCCATTGAAAGGATATGCATCCACACTCTCAGTTATAAGCCTGATAGATCCTACTGAATTTCCCCATACGGCAGATTGCTAAATTCCTGATAATGAGGAGTTGGTAACAAATGTACCTGTTTTTGCTTGTCTGAGTTATTGTAAATGTTATTATCTTCCAGAAGTAGCAACCAAAGTTATCTACATATTACCTATTAAAATAAGATATTTAATAGTTCCATTTGATTGTTCTTTTTATGGGCAGGAACTCTCTTTCTCCTCCTCTTCCTCTTCCTTTTAATTGAAGCATGGTAGGAAAAACATTCTGCCTGCAAAAATGCCTTTATAATTTTCAAGGGTCATGGTTATCTATGGAAGGAATGATCAGACTAAAATGAAATTGAGGGCTGGGAAGGTGGCTCAGTGGTAGAGTGCTTGCCTTGCATGCCTGAAGCCCTGGGTTTGATTCCTCAGCACCACATAAGCAAAAAGAAAAAAACCAGAAGTGGCGCTATGGCTCAAGTGTTAGAGAGCTAAGCTTGAGCTGAAGAGCTGAGGGACAGCACCCAGGCCCAGAGTTCAGGCCCCACGACCGGACCCAAAAAATAAAAAAATAAATAAATGAAATTGACCTTTCAGCCCAGTGCATAAAACCAATTCAACATCCACCAAGAGAAACGACTAAATGTTTCAAAATTACAGTGCAGAAAGCATTTCTTTTAAAATACTCATCTGAGGAAGAGTCTGTGGAAGGGGATTTTTGTTCTCTTTGGTTGAATCAGTATCACTAATAATGATGCTTTGGTCCTTCCAAAGGCCTCCTGAAGAGGCTGTTTCAGTTTACTCATTTTGTTTGTTATTGAGGGCCTTTTACAACATAGACCTTCCTTTCCTTTCATCTTTCCTATCACAGCAGTATCTCACATTGATGGAAGCCTCCCACCCCTCTCTGCCCATTTCCCAGCCCCAACTCTCCTTTTTTCAATTCAAATCTCTATAAAGGAACATGATAGAGGAGGAGAGATGAGGAAGGCTTTGGGTTGCTTTTCTGCCACTGGGAGTACATAATAGTTTTAATAGGTTTCTTAGTAGCAACTTTTGCCTAGAAACTTAGTTTTATAATTTGCACGATTAATTCATGACATTTACTAGAAACTGGTCGTTGTCTTCTTCTTCTTCTTCTTCTTCTTCTTCTTCTTCTTCTTCTTCTTCTTCTTCTTCTTCTTCTTCTTCTTCTTCTTCTTCTTCTTCTTTCTTCTTCTTCTTCTATCTCTCCTTTTTTTGGTCAGTTATGGAGCTTGAACTTTTTGGGCTTGGGCCCTGTCCCAAGGTGAGCGCTCTACCACTTGAGCCACAGTGCTACTCCCTCTGCTTCTTTAAAAAAATAATTTGGGCATTAAATATTTAACAGAAAACATTGAACAGAAAATTCTTGAGAAAACCCTGTGTTTTGTTATAAATTGCATGAGTATGAAGTGGTTATAAAATTGAGTTTGCTAGATACACCCTGTACAGGAAAGTTAGCAAATTGTATCTCCTTGCTGAGAGGTGCAAAGGGCAGAAATCCTGAGAGAACACAATTATGGAAACAAATATTCTAAATAGTATTCATTCACCTGAAAATTTGCCCCAATATTTCCTTGTTTATTTAAGTGTCTGTTCTGGTTTTTATCCACTGTAAATTGAACTCTGTGTCTGTCTGGGGGACATTTATTATTTTTTTTTATAGTTGCAGCCTTCATATCTTGAATCTGAACCCAGTATGGTGTGTGTGTGTGTGTGTGTGTGTGTGTGTGTGTGTGTTGGACAGAGTCTTCCTATGTATTCCAGGCTGGCCTCAACTCTCAGTCTCCCTGCTTAAGCCTCTCAGGCGCTGGGATTACAGACATGTACCACCTTGTCTGATCTGGGACCCAGCCTTAAAGGCTGAATTCCTGAAAATGACTCTGTGACTAAATGCTTTTCTCTGTTTCTGGATTTTCTTTAACATCCAGTATCCACTATACTACTCACCCTGTTATTAGATTTGCTTAAATATGCTATGATATTTATCCTGAGGCATACTTTCCAGGAAGCCAATGTTATTACTCCCATCATATAGATAAGGGCACTAAAGCAGGGAGGAGCTAATTATCTTGCACGAGGGGTCACTGGTCTAGCAGGGAGGCCAAGTTTCAGTTTTAAGCTAGATTGCAGAAAGCATTGAAAATGACCTTGTATAAGATCTAACATGCAAGGGACACTACACTCTTAAGAAGTTGGCTATTCAGGACCTATGAGTGAGGTATCTTTGATCCTGCTATGGCTTCCTGTCACTAGTCACTCCCATCCTGTTTCCAAAAAGTTCCTAATACCACAGCAAGTCCAGTATAACTTATTTCCTTGAGCAGGGCATCCCAAGGATAGATTCCTCCCATAGAATGAGCCTCCAAAGTGGCCTCCAAAGGCAATAATCCAGAGTTTTGGTTTGGTTTAATTCAAAACAGGAAGTCACACTCCCCAACATTCTGTTCTCTCACCTCCTAGCTAAAATCCAGCTGTGTTTTCTCTTTCTGGTCAAGAAAAATGCCTTTTGATTTTTATAAAATAACAGGGCCCCAAATTGGGCAGTTGTTTAGGTAGTTTAATCCTTCACACTTTTCTAAGTGTTACATACATGCACATACATACATACATACACACGTGCAAAAAATATTAAGGTGAAAAGGACTAACATAAAAACTGTATTATGAATTTTCCAAGGTATTTCAGTGAAAATAGAAATAAATAATATGAAAAATGATGTGGTCATAAAATATCAAATATTTGAGGAAGAAAGAAAGAAAAGAAAAGAAAAGTCCAGACAAGAAAAGAATAGCTCTGCTGAACACAAAATTAGTTTCTTTGAGTTTTCTACTGTCATTTAGACTTGGTACCTCTGGAGTCCAGCATGTTGGCATTAGGGAATTCTTTGAAATACTTGCATATAAATGCTAGCGCATGCTTTAGCAAACAGGAAAAGGTATTCAGTGCAAGCTCATATGTGTGAGCAAGTTCATAGGGGTTGGTTAAGGGATGTGCTTGTATTCAAAATAAACGATTAAGAAAATTATTAGGCCTCTAGTTCTTGCCTTCCAGGAATCCCTATACTGAGAAGAATCTGGAATACAAACATAATAGCTTCATGTTGTGAGAATGATTGAGTGTGATATAAGTACATGTATAGCATGCACTGTTTTTAAAGTGGGACGTTGGCTCAGTGGTAGAGTGCTTGTCTTGCATGCATGAGGCCCTGGGTTCAATTCCTCAGCACCACATAAGCAGAAAAAAAAAGCCAGAAGTGGTGCTATGGCTCAAGTGGTAGCATGCTAGCCTTGAGCTGAAGAGCTGAGGGACAGCGCCCAGGCCCAGAGTTCAAGCCCCACAACTGACCAAAAAACTAGAAATAAAAATAAATAAAGTGGGAAGCTTGGAAAGAGTACCAGAGTGGACAAAGTTGATCAAAATATATGAACACATTGTATATGATATGTACATATCTCAGTGAAACCCCTTTGTACTACTAAAATCCATAAATAAGAGTGACACTTTGGAAGTAAGAGTCAAATGTGATTGATACCATCTACTAAAAGATGTCCCATCTCCCTTTCTGGACAGAGTGTTTAACTTCTCCGTCAAACCCACTCAGAAAAAGAGAAAAGGAAAATCCACATTCTGACCGCCCGGATGCACATAGTTTTCACAACACGCTTTATTGTTCATAAAAAAATAAATTTATTTACATATGTTAATTACTGGGTCAGTGCAACTTCAAGGCAACGCACTACCATCCCCTCCCCCCCAAAAAAGTACAGAAAGCACAGTTTTACTGGCTATAGAACAGCCCCAATAGCCCACTGGGTGGAGCTTTGGAAAGAACCTGGGCCCCTGGGGAAGAGCATTGGACATTAGAGGCCGGAGGGGCTGGAGAAGAGCCACAGGCCTCGCGGTCTGCAGTCAGAGGGGAGGGGCGGGCCTGTGCTGTCGGAGGAGAGCAGGATCCCAGGGTGAGAGGAAGCTGGCGCCTAACAAGGCCTAACAAGGGAGAGAGTTGAGGGAATGAAAGCAGAGGCAGGAATTTGGGAAGAAGACCTTAGCCTGGAGGAATCAGGGCCAAGCTGTTGCATGGGTATTGGGCAAAACTGGGCTGGCCTGGTCCCCGAACTGAGTCTCCATCACGCCTGGCCCCCATTGGCCAACTCTCTTCTCTTTGCAAAGTTCTAAGCACGCCCGCTGGGGACGCACACCTGGCCTTTTGTCCTTCAGCTTGGTGGAGAGCTCCTTCTGACCTTGTGTTAACTGAGAAGCCAGGACTCTGTCCGTAGGATCCGGCCACCACGTGTAGGAGCGATCTGGCTCTGCTGGGAAACCAGGGGTCCGGGGCTCCTTGGCACAGCTGAAGTCCCAAACTGGATCTAACCTGCGTTCTCTGCCTGAAAGAGGCTACAAAACGCCCTTGCTGTCAGACTCCGCAGCCCTAGCGATGGTGCGGGAAGGGGACTGCCGCCCCAGGCACCGCGGGCTTTCACAGTTCCCGGGGAAGCCGCCAGGGAGAGGTTACCAGAGAACCTCAGGAACAGGTGCTCATCCTCTGGCGCTCTCGCGGGCTCTCCCTTCTCTCTTTGGCCTCAGACATTCGCATTTTACAAATCCCACCACGTGAGTTCGAGTCCCATCTAAGCCGTGGTTCCACATAATCGGTTGGCTGCAGAAACTTCTTTGGTGTCAGAATCGGGTCGTCCAGAGACCACAAATGGCCACGTCTGTATTAAAATAAAATATATACATATATTTTTAAAGTACTAAACAGGGAGGAAAACGACCCCCTCAAAACGAAACCACTCTTTTCAATGAACCCCAGGCAGCCCTGGCTTTGGGAAGCCCAGCTTTTATCAGCATCTTGGAAATGTGTGTGGCTTGTCTCTTAAAAACTGTACTGGTCACTGATGATGGACGATTCTGGGGTGCTCCTTCAGCTTAGCTCCTGGTCTTTGGCCACAGGAATGAATGACTGGGGGAGATGTGTCTGACTTGGAATTTTATCTTTTAATTCCTCATCACCAACTCCAAGTGGGAGCTGAGCTTCCCCGCTCCCCCCACCCTTCCGACCCAGTTGGCAAGTCGGAGAGGGACTTTCCAGACAATTCTGTCTGGGCTAATTCTGCTATCACGCCTCGATTGAAAAGAGAAACTTTTTCTTTTCTGCGTTTAGAATAAAGTTCGATCTTCCCTTTTTCGTGAGGGCAAGTGAGGGATTCAAACCTGCCAAATTCTTGACTAGGAAGAAAAAAAAAATCTGAGCGAGTGAAGATTTGCCATTCAGTTTGTCACGGAGGAGTAAACTCCTTTGGAACCGACCCTGTAGCCCGGAAGTCAGATATCAGCTAGCTGCGTTACTGGGCGAAGACGCACGGACACAATGACCAGGGAAGAAGCAAACACAGAAGCTGGAAGATCCTTCAGGAACACCGCACACACACACACACACACACAAAACACAAAAACCACTGGCCCCTCCTCTCTTGATCTGGGAGAAACTAAACTTGCTTCCCCATCTCCCGTGGTTCCAGAAACTTCCCCATCTGGATTCTTCCTAAGGGGCTGACCCTTCCTGCCCCCTCCCCACCCCGGCGCGAAGTGGACCACTCCGGGTCGCGCCCCCGAGCCTCCCTACCAGGTTCACCGGGTGCACGTAGCCGTTTTCGTAGCGATCCTCCTGCAGCAGCTGCCGCAGGTGCGCGATGTAGCTGGAAGCCAGCCTGAGCGTGTCCAGTTTGGAGAGCTTGGTGTCGGGGGGCACCCAGGGCAGGCTGGTCTTGAGCCTGGAGAAAGCTTTGCTCAGCACTCGCATCCGGGCGCGCTCGCGGGCGTTGGCCGCATTCCGTTGCGACTGCTTGCACTCCGCGGCTGAGCCCTTGGGCGGGAGACACTTTTTACCGTGGCCGCCGGCACTGCCACCCGTGCTGCCGCCGCTGCCCCCAGCCACACGTGGCCGCTTCCTCTGGCAGCCTCCCGCGTGGCCCGGCGCGCCCAGGGCGCACCGCTCCTCTTCGCCGTCAGGGTCCTCCTCCTCCGCCGAGGAATTGTCACTGGGAGATGCGTAACCGCGCTCGGGGCGGCTCAGAGGCGGCCTCTTGGACGTGGAGATCGGGTACACCCGCGGCAGCCCCCGCAGCTCCATCTCTTCGGGGTCACTCACCGAGCCCGTGGACATCACCTCGTCCCGCGGGCCCTCGCGTGCGCGCGCCTTCCTCCGCTCTGGCCAGTCTCGCGGTCTCCGCCTTGCACTCCGAACCCGAGGAGGGGTGGGGGCTGGAAGAGCTCCCGGGAGGACCGAGGAGGACCAAGGACTTTGGGCGAGAGGCCCACGAGGCCCCACAGCAAAGTGGGCGGTGACAGCGAGCGCGCCCCGCGTCTGACCCTGGAGAGTGAGGTCCAGAAGTGTACGCCGCGATCCAGGCTCCGCACGCCCAAACGCGAGCTGCGCCTTTGGACACGACTATTTATCTGGACTCCTAGGAACAAACCGCCCTCAGGGACAAGAACTGGGGGTTGGGTGGGCAGCGAGAGGTGGGGCAGGGGCGTGGAAGGGGTGGGGACCACTTTTCACTGTTTGGGGGAGAGTTTGGTGGCGCAGGGTGGGGGTAGAGAGGACGTGTCTGCAGAGCGCAGAATTGGGACCCCAGGGAGCCAGATCACCGCAAGCATTGGGGAAAAAACGGGGAGAGACCTTGTTCCCACCCACCCGATCTTGATCTTCACCTTTACCTGACCTTAGCATAGACAGACAACAGACTCCAGGATCCTGGCTGCAGCTTTTCTCCGATGTGTTTATCAGAACTAGTTTTCAAGTTCCGTTCCTCATGCTGATCCAGAGAAGTGAAAAGACAAAACAAAACGCTCAGGACCAAGCAGACACTGCCTACTGCATTTTTGCCTTGTCACACAGCACCTGTATCTTCACTGGTTCGTTTCATCTTCAAACCACAAAGGCAACCTAAATGTGACCTTTGATTAGAATCGCCGGTATGATTAAATAAAGAAGGACTTCCGAATCTAATTTTAGAGTCCCTGGCCCCATTTGGTAGGTATTCTGGCCCTCTTGTTACCTTCCTGTCATAGACCAAAGAGGTTGTGCCTTGTATTTTCCACTGTTTTGAAAGTCCCCTGTATAGTTTCATTTTTCAGTCCCTCAGTCCCGTAATGCCTGCTGTGGACTCTGACCAGACAGTTGAGTTGTGTTAGGAATCCATCACTATCTTTGAGGTCCTAAACAAGAGCAAGTTCCTGGGTACAGAATGGTAAACAGCAGTCACTGGAGGAGTTATCATATTTCATTTCAGCCAAAACAAAACAACTTGTATTCCCTCCAAAGACAATACAACCAAATTTCAGTTCTGTTCATGTCCTAACAAGAGTTATTGCGCTATGTGGTCAGGGGATGAGGACCAACCACCGTTTAGAAACAGATACTAGTGGCCAGCTAGAGTGCCTGATGCTATGTGCCTGCCCCTCGATGTCTTGTGAGCAGCTCAAAGCCTCAAACCTCAAAGCCTGTGAGGCTGTGAAATAAGAAAACTGAGTTTCTCCAGCCTACTTACTTCTTTGTGTGTCCTTTCCTTGCTGCCAAGATGAGTGAGGTGCAAACAGCCTAATATACCATCAGTACAAAGGAGACGGAATCCACCCTTATGCTTTACAGCAGTGCAAATATGCCCAGCTCTGTGCCTGAAATGCCACAACAGGTGGCTGGCCAGCCAAGGCTGACTTCATCTCTTAGACATCATTCTGCCTCGTCCCCCAGGCCATACCTCCCCCATGGGGATATTTGACACAACCCCTCCTGATCAAAAGTTCTCATTTCAAAAGTTTTCTCCATGGTCTTTGGAGTGTGGAGGATGGGTTCTTTCTGAGATCTTTTTTTTTTTTTTTAATGGAACAGTCCTTTGCTGGAAATATGTGGGGGTATTTGACTTCATGTGGAAGTCCTTGGAGTGCTTGAACTTGAACATGACTCTAGACTTGCCTACCCAGGCAAAGGAAAAGAGAGGGGGCAGGGAAGGCAGGAGAGAATGAATATGAGAGCAAAAAAAAAAAAGATGTAATAGGGAGAACTCAGGCTAGCTTTTTGCGTCACTCATTGATGACTTGAAGCTATCAGTATAAATACATAGTCTCACACATTAGGGGCAGGGGTACAGGTTTTAAAAATCTGGATTGTTTATACAGGTGCAGAACAAAGTCTTTCTTTAGAAAAGATTAATGGTGGGGAGAGCGCTACATTTCTCTAAACAGTTGCAAAAACTGCACCCAAACTCAACACTAACCAGATCAGAGCCCATTTCTTTTTCTGACCTTAGCAATTTAGGCTTTTTATTCCCCCTCTAGTTCTTCCCTTCCTTCTCTATTTCCTTTTCTCGTTACTCCTTTCATTCCTTTTTTCTCTTTTCCCCATCTCCTACTCCATTTTCAGAAAGTACTTATATTTTTCTTCAAGTTTTCCTTTTCATCCTTGCTTCTTTTCTTTCTAGTTACATTTCTCAGTGCTTTACTCTTTTTCAAGTTGCACATGTGCAACATTTCCTGAAGAAGACCAGGCAAGATGTCTTTCCTTGATGTGAAATTAGTATATCATTAATTTTATAATATACAATTATATAATATATCACATATATTTTATATATAACTATATAACATATCATTTTAACTAATTATATAATATAACCAGTATATAACAAATTGCTTTTTACATGTTTGTAGCAGATGAGATTTGTAACCTCTTCATACTTCTGCCTCCCTGGGAGATCCAAGCCTTGTGCTGGGCAGTGTGTAGAAGTGGAACTTTCCCTCTGTGAGAAGCCACTTTTGCTTTCATTGTTTGCTGCTGCTATACGTTGCAAGTGACTAATAAAGCCTTTAGGCTCATATTTAAAAAGCATACTGGAATCCATTACTATTTACTTATGATTTACAGACTATTTGATTTGTAACAGGTAAAGCTCTTATCTATCATCTTATCTATTTCTCTCTACCTATAGATAGGTAAATAGATAACCTTGAAAATATTTTGCACTTTGTAAATATGTACTAATGGGTGAAAGGATTGAACTTACATTATAAAACAAACTTTAATATATTTAACAATAGTTCCTCATTCTTTCAGTAACTTGCTGGGTGGTGTTTTTTGTTTTTTGAAGAGGGATCAGTTTTCTAATCCATAAAAGGAAGTCACTTTTTGTATGGCAAAAGAAAGTATATGAGCAATATCTACACCAGATCCAGGTTGATAGAAGGTCAATAAATACTGCTTGCCTTGCCAACATTCTGTAAGGAATGTCATATTTTAGACTCCTGATTTGTTTTGGGTAGTAGATGGTAACAGGATGTTTCATTGCTTTGTCTGCTGGTTTCTAGAGTCTAGAGTGCACAATCTCCTCTGAGAGGAGAACCATAGGGTTCACTGAGAGAAGAAGGATGGGGCTTCATTAGAAATATTCTCTTCCCGTTGAATTGTCTTACCATAATTTCCAAGCCTGTCTCTAAGTCTTCCTTTTCCAATTGACAGAGAGGGAGAGAATAAAACACTTAAACCAGCTAGGCACCAGCAGTTCATGCCTGTAATCCTATTTACTCAGAAGGCTGAGATCTGAGGATCAAAGTTGAAGCCTGCCAGGCCAGAAAAGTCCTTATGAGATTCTTATCTCCAATTAACCACTGAAAAAAAGGGAAAGTGGTGGTGTGGCACAAAATGGTAGAACACTAGTCTTGAGCATAAGAGCTCAAAAACAGTGCCCAGGTCCTGAGTTCAAGCCCCATCACCAATAACAACAATGAAAAACAAGCAAATAAACCTTACCTAAACCAGAGTTGTTGAAAGGATTAAGTTAGATCATGTGTATAGGAAAGGAGTCTGCAGAAGTCTAACACTGAAAGGTACCTAATATGTATAAATACTTAAACACACAAAATTTTACTGAGCACTGGTAGCGCACACCTATAATCTGAGCCCCTCAGGAGCTGAGATCTGAGGATTACCATTCAAAGCCAGCTCTGGCAGGAAAGTCCTTGAGACTCAATCTCTAATTAACTACTCCCAAAGCAGGAAGTGAAGCTGTGGCTTACGTGGTAGAAGCTAGCTTTGAGCAAAAATGCTCAGGGGAAAAAAAAATGTTCAGGGGACAGCACCCAAGCACTGAGTTCAAGAAGCAGCATGAGTGCGCGCGCGCACGCGCGCACACACACACACACACACACACACACACACACACACACACACTCTTTACAGACTTTTCAAAGGAGGGATAATACAGGGGAATGATAATAATAGAGCCATTCATTGTTGTTTCCCTTGTCTGACTCCGTAATAAGTACTTGGTAAGGGCCTCTGTAGGTGGACAAGCTGGTAGATTTAAGGAAGACCAAGTTTCCTGTGTTCCCTGTGGTCAGGTGAAAAGACGTCAGGGTTTAAGAAAGAATTGTGGGACTAGATTTGAATGGATAATGTTTTCCTCACCTGACATTCCTGTTGTTTCTCCTGGTAATCACTAGTGACCTGCACTGTCCTACTGGCTAGAAGAAGTCCCATACTTTTGAGTAATTGTCTGTAATCAAGGAAAAAAATAATTGAGAACAGCATGGGCCAATATGGAAGACCCTACCCACATGAAGTTATTGAATACTTGAAAGTTACTAGTCAAGGACACTAGTATTCGATACACTCCGGGTATTGAAGATGTAATATGAACTGTCAAAATATTAATTACATGTCAATAGTAACACTGGAGTATATTGAATAAAATATATTGCATGAAATTAATAATTTATTATAAAGCAGTTAACAAAAATGACAATTATCAAATTTTAGATAAAAGTGTATTTCTAGAAGACAACTTGGTTTTATAATCTCATGGATGAACAAAGTAACTATAAATTAAGCATGTGGTTAGTAGGTTGTGGCAAGATGATTGTCTGAGACTGGCTCCCATGCCTTCAGAACACACCTTGTTTCACATATAATCAGCAGTGTGCAGAACTCAGTGCACATAACCTTCCTCTGGCTTTTCCCTGCCACCCAGCCTGTATATCACCCTGAGTACCTACCCTAGCATGATCTTACACCTCATGACCAGAACACAGAGTCATCTTCACCGGAGAGGTGTGGCATTTTATTCCCCAGGTTAGAAGGGCCACCTGGCATCTAGAGCTACAGTTTCCAGTTCTCAGGCAACACTCAGATTAGAGTATCACAAC